TCCAAGACACCTGGGTGGAGGGCCGAAGTTGGCCCATGCCTGCAGTAATCTCTAACAAGACGAAAACAACATTTCTGTGCCATGTTAAGGTGCCCACGTTTCTTCCATGGCTCATATCAGCTTGATCTGGAAACATTGACAAAACCGATGTCTGGTTCCTGCCCTGTCGCTCTCTCTGTTTTGGGGCTCCTCCTCCTCTCTTTGGCCCTTCAAGCCCGTCCGGGCTGCTTTGCCCTGTATCCGGCATCCCACGCATGCCTCCGAAGCATTTCCCGCCAGCAACACCCTCCTGCCCGTGTGGCCTACTTCTGGAACATCATTAGGCAACAATGGATGGAGCAATTCACAAATAGATATTTATGGCACATGGGCCTCATATCTACAAAGGGATCTTTATTGGTTGTTAGCATGTCTGGACCTTTTGTGTTAATTGTGTCTGTTTGGTTTCTGGTTTTATTTGTTGTGAATCTTGATTTTTTATTTGTTTAAGTGTGTTGCAACTCAGGGTAGTTTTCACCTTGCTCCCAAACACCACCACACCAAAGCTGTAGATTTTGTAGAAAGGCAAAATCAAAGCATAGTATGAAGAATACAAAATTTCCATAAGGCTTAAGTGCAAAGACACAGTTCCCAAGATCCAAAGGCAAAAACATGAAGCATAATCCTTTAAGCCAGTGTTTCTCAACCTGGGGGTTGCGATCCCTGGAGGGGTCGCGAGGGGGTGTCAGAGGGGTCACCAAAGATCACCAGAAAACACAGTATTTTCTGTTGGTCATGGAGGTTCTGTGTGGGAAGTTTGGCCCAATTCAGTTGTTGGTAGGGTTCAGAATGCTCTTTGTTTGTAGATGAACTATAAATCCCAGCAACTACAACTCCCAAATGTCAAGGTCTATTTTCCCAAAACCCCACTAGTGTTTATATTTGGGCATATTGAGAATTTGTGCTAAGTTTGGTCCAGATCCATCATTGTTTGACTCCACAGTGCTCTCTGGATGAAGGTGAACTACAACTCCCAAAACTGAAGGTCAATGCCCACCAAACCCTTCCAGTATTTTCTGTTGGCCATGGGAGTCCTGTGTGCCAAGTTTGATTCAATTCCATCGTTGGTGGAGTTCAGAATGCTCTTTGATTGTAGGTGAACTATAAATCCCAGCAATTACAACACTCACAGGACAAAATCAATACCCCCCCCCCCCCAATCCCACCAGTATTCAAATTTGGGTGTATTGGGTATTTGTGCCAAATTTGGTCCAGTGTATGAAAATACATCCTGCATATCAGATATAAATAATAATAATAATAATAATAATAATAATAATAATAATAGTAATAATAAGAATTTTTTTTATTTATACCCCGCCTCCATCCCCCCAAGAGGACTTGGGGCGGCTTACATAAGGCCACGCCCATCCATACAGTAAACACAATATAAATACAAAATACACAACGGATAATCAAAAAAATAAATTACATAAAATGCAAAACCATTTCATAGAATCATAGAATCCTAGAATCCTAGAGTGGGAAGAGACCTGGTGGGCCATCATCCAGTCCAACC